GTCATTTGCCTTCTGGAATCGTGAATATATTCAACCAGGAGTCCTAGAATTGTAGTCTGTCCTTCTGCCACTTGGTGGTACTACAGGATAAGAGAAGTAGCATTGTGGAAAAGGGGACCACCAGTTAAATCTTGGCTGATAACCACATTGTTACCTATTTTTTGCTATTATTTATCAACATTTCATTTTTCTGAAATTTCTCATGCATTAACATGTAAGGAGAATCTTGGTTCTGATTTTCCAGCTATCAATTAGACTTAGGTTGATGCCTTTGTTCATTTTGTTGTGTTTTGGTTTTTTGATACAGGGTCTCACCATGTAGCAAGATCCTCCTTCCTCCACTTTCTGTGTGCTATAATTATAGGTGTGTGCCACCATGTCTGGTTTAGGCTAATGTCCTAACCACTTTGTTTGCTTTTAGGGGTATGCCATCAGTGGGTATTTGCTCTTATTTAAGTTTATAAGATTTTATCTGGCATTTTACAGTATCTCTACAATTTTGTTTGTACCTCATTATATGACAATCCAGAAGTATTTTGTCATGCTATATTAGAATTTAATAATACATTCCCAAGTAGGTTTGTATGTGTGTACTGGGCCTAAAGAAGTCTGTTGCAAACAAGCTTTTCAGGGAGATGATATAATCATCAGTGGAAAGCTAAGGACTATCTTATTTAGTAATTTCTGGTCTTCTAATTGACTTTTGGCTTTAGTTAATTGGATTATTTTGATCAGTTTTACCCAGTAAAGGTAGATTTAGGACAAAGATGTGAAATTTTTTTTAAAATGTCATTAAAGGCAGATGTTAGCATAACCCTGGAGTATCTTTGTGACAGACTAGTTGTTCTTGAGAATAATACTTGGTGGGCCACTTTTGAGTTCAAGATTTTATGTTATTGCTGGTGGTACAGGCCTTTAATCCCAGCACTTGGAAGGCAGAGGCAGGCAGATTGCTATAAGGTCTAGGCCAGCCTGGGCAACAGAGTGAGTTCCAGCCCTACCAGGGATATATGACATATGTAATATTGCTTGTTCTGTATGTAAGGGAGTGATTGCATATAGTTTTACAATTTAATTAATAGAATCGACAGAGGAAATTTTGGTTGGAAGATTATAGGCAAAGAATTCATTGTGTTATTGTGCTTTTGCTCTTTGATACTAAATTCTGTAATATTAGATGGAGACTTGTATCTGATAACATTTGAGACATTAATACTGTTCTTATTTCAGGGAAACTATAGAGTAGTATTGGATTGGATTCTCAGAAGGATTGGTATTAAGATTTTGTGTTATGTGAGCTAGCTATTAATGTTTCCTGGTAAATATTTGATAAGAATGAACAAGTTTTATTTTTATCACTATTAGAATTAAGAGATTATGTCATGCTTTAGAAGAGAAAATTTCATTGCTCCTTTGCCCACTGAAAATTTGATGGAATGTACTGATGACAAATTTAATAGGAAAAAGTATACAAATTAAAGTGTTTGGGAGAACACAGCAGGGTGATTATGTAGGAACTTGATTGAATTAAGCAATAGACCATCGCTGAGGCGTAACTTGTGTCTGTGCTGGTGTATCTAGAGGGATAGGACTCAGGAGAGAAGGCGTACCCTGAATGTGGATGACACCACCCAATGGGCCTGGGCCGTAAACTGAATAAAAATTTTAAGAGGGAGAAATGAAACTGAGGACCAGCATTCATTTCTTTCTGCTGCAGACACAGTGTGACCAGCCGCCTCATGCTCCTGCTGCAGTGCTTTTCTGCCATGATGGACTGTATCCCCTCATAAACAGCCAGAGTAAATCTTTCTGTAAGTTACTTTTGTCAGGTATTTTGTCACAATAGAGAGAAAAGTAATACACCCACTGAGGTTTAAATGTTTCTATACTTCACAGCCAAAGGGTGGTGGGGGGAGGAATGTAGGAAATTTGGGGGATTATAAATGATCTTTAGAGGAAACAGGCTAAGAGGACAGATAATAGTGTCTAAATGTCTTTGGAAGAATGAATGGATTCTGGAGACCAGCTATAGCGTGTGACAAATTCCATCTAGCTGTGATTACATTCCTTAGTTTACCTTCCTGTGATTTGAGTTCATGCGTTAGTGAAACCTCAGAAAGTGAACTGAAGGTAATTGGGGCTGATCTCTAGTCAGAGAAGGAAATATCTGAGGCAAGGTTCTTCTAGTTTCACGGATCTTCAAGAACTTTAAATTTGAAATCATCCAAATATCCAGGTACCTTTCAGAGTGTTGAAATGCCTTCCTTTTATTCTGAGTTTGTACAGTGTTAAAACTGCCTGTGTTGGTTCTCATGGCCCTGGCTCTTTTCATTTTACCTCAAACCACATCCAAGTACTGTTAACCACTAAGTGAGGCAGATATCCTTGAGGACATACTCCTGTGTCCCTACGCCTGAGAATGAAGAAATGTGGAGGGAGCCAACCAAGATCACTGAGCGCCTCTGACACATTCTCTCTCTCTCTTTTTTTTTTTTGGCACAGGATTTCCCTAGTCCCTGCCCACCTAGAAGTCACTATGTGGACCAGGCTGGCCTTGATCTCTCACAGAGACCCATTTCTCTACTTCCCAAGGGCTGGGACACCATGCCTTGTTTACTTTCTGTAAACTTGACTCCTTATAATATTAAATTAACAGTGTCCAGACACTTTCCTGTTCACTGTTTTCCCATTTTGAAATTGTGTTCTATGACCTTGATCTGAGCAATCATAAAATGTGTCTACCATCTTTCTCTCTTGAACTGAACTTGCTACAAGTGACTTATGTGTTGACTCCCTGAATAAAATTTCTTATGTGTTAGAAATCACCCCAGTGCTCCCCCTTATCTGCTATAGGTAATAAATCTTTCTCTGCTCATTCATCACCTAATTGTGCGTTTTGTGGTTGTTTTTATTGTTAAACTTTTTGATACTGGGTCTGCTGTATGATCTCTGGGTAGCCTGGTATTCCCTATGTAGCCCAGGCTGGCCTTGGATTCCTTCTGTCTATGTCATTTAATACTGGAGGCCTGAACCACTATGCCCGGTTTCAAGACTGTTTGGCTGTTGCTGCTGCTACTGCTGTGTGTGTGTGGGTGTGTGGGGGCGTGTGCGCACACATGCATGTGGGTGTGTGGGTGGGTAGGTACCCAAGCATCTAGTTGGTCTTTTCCACTAATGGAAGTTCTCAAGACAATATCTATGAGTAAAAACAAATCCATTTCATTCACATGATAAATAGTTTTGTTAAAGTGACTTGATTATGTATGTCAAGATATGGGAAGGTATAAAGTCATGAAACTTCTGTCACTGGACCTTTAGAATATACTTGATTTATTGTTTTGAAATATTTGAATGTCAGCAATTGACTGGACTTTATATTGTATATGCCTATAGTGCTGGTTATATCTATAGAAGAACAAAGACAGGACACTTCTTTCCTCTAGTCTCACATACTTATGGCTATACCCAGTCTGTCATTGCCAGAAGTAGTGAGGTACAAATAATCTCTTCTGAAATTTTGTCTTTGAAATAAATAGATTTAAGGGGCCTTGGAGAGATGGCTCAGTGGTTAAGAGCACTGGCTGCTCTTGAAAGGGACCGGGGTGGGTTAAATTCCCAAGCTCCCACATGGCTGTTAACAGTCATCCATAATTTCAGTTGTGGGGAATCTGACCTCCACAGGCATTGCACAACATGAGTGCACTAATACACATGCAGGCAGTATACTTATACAGATAAAATTAAAAATAACAAAATATTTTTTTCAAAAAAAGAAATAAATGGATTTAAATAATTGATTTAATAATTAGAATTTCATTCAAATGTACTATTTTCAGGTCTTGGTAAAGACAGTCTTCAAGTGAGCATATTTATCTCCTTACTAAATAGTTTATCAGGCCAGGTGTGGTGGCACATGTCATTTATCCCAGCACTCGGGAGGCAGGTGCAGGTGGATCTCTGTGATCTCAAGGCCATCCTGGTCTACGTGGTGAGTTCCAGGCCAGCTGAGACAAAAAAAAAAAATTAAAGTGGGAGTCAGATGATACGTTCTGAGAGGAGTGTAGTGTCTATGCTGAGAGAGGTGGAAAGAATATGGTGGCTAGTCAGTAGAAAGACAAGATATGGGCAAGAGGATTCCGGCCTCTGTGTTTAAAGGTCTTCTGTCTCACTGATTAGTAAGATGTTAGCAGCAGAGCAACAGGGATGCACTCTGTCATCAAAGATCCATAGTGCTGCTAGCCACAAGATACAGGTACCTTTTAGATTTTTTGAAGTAAGAGGAAGATTTTCAGTAATAGAATTTAATAGGAGAATTTTAATGCCAGGATAGACTAGTGGTACTATATTTTAGAAACAGCCTTTTGTGTTACTCAGAGTAAGCATGGCTTCTGTCTGATTGAAGGCAAAGGTTGAGGTTTCTATTCTCATAGTCCACGTATGTTTTTCTAGACGTCCCTGTTCATTTTCTAGGGGCGGTTGTGTACCTCTCATACTCCTTTTACATTTATGTTTCTTGTTCTCCCCATAAATGTGATTGTAACTGGACTTTTGGGATCTGTTGATTTAAATCAAATTTTTATTATGATTCATTTTTCACATTTGAAAAAGCAGTTAGTTGTGTCTATGTAGGGCAGTTTCCACTCAAGCCTGGTATATGTTTATATTTTTGGATTCTAAAAATTATATATGTAGTTTGCAATATGTGTGTCCCACAAGTTGAGAACCATGAGTGAATTCTAATACCTGCCTTCATTTTAGTGGATGAAAAATTGAGGCTCAGCAATGTAAAACAGGCTTTTCCAGAGTCAGATATAGCATGTTAAGTTAGACAAATTAGATGTATAATGACACCTTGAATTTTTTGACTCCTTGCTTAGTGTTTCCATGCCTTTAGTTACCTGGGTATTTCTGAACTTTTGTCTTTGAAGTGAACACATTTTGTGTAATGACCTAGAGCTCTAACAGTTAAAATCAAACATTTCATCCACATTTGTTCCCAGGTCTTTGAAGAAACTGGTTTTGATATTAGAGAATATATTTGTAAAGATGATTACATTGAACTTCGAATCAACGACCAGCTTGCTCGATTGTACATCATTCCAGGAATTCCAAAAGACACAAAATTTAACCCAAAAACAAGAAGAGAAATTCGGGTATGTAAGGATTGAGAATATTTGTAAGTTGCTGAACAGTATCCCAATTGAATGAAGTGGGGATTTCCTTTTAGATATGCCTTTATAGTGATTAAGTGAAATCTTTTTGTGTGTTTCAGAACATTGAATGGTTCTCCATTGAGAAATTACCCTGTCATAGAAATGATATGACCCCCAAATCTAAGCTTGGTTTGGCACCTAACAAATTTTTTATGGCCATTCCCTTTATCAGGTATGTTCATATTTCTTAAAATATAAAACAGGCCTCCATGTTGCTGTTGTGTCAGAGTTTTAAAGTGAATTGCTTATGTTTCATAGACCATTAAGGGACTGGCTGTCTCGAAGATTTGGAGATTCCTCAGACAGTGACAATGGATTTTCCTCAGCTGGTAGCACACCTGCTAAACCCACTGTGGAAAAATTGAGGTACAGAAATAGATCCATGAGATTTGGGCTTTCTGATAGTTTTTAGTACAGTACCATTTTGATTCCAAAGTTTACAAGGTGTAAGATTCCTTTTTGTAAGCACTGTCGTGTTCCTGATCTCATGCATCAGAAAACAGTTTTTAAATGTTTTTGATGAGATAAAGGGGGTTGATTGGAGTTGGAAAAGGAACTTCAGGCACATTTTGAAGCAGTGCGTTCAAGAAAATACCAATTTCTTAGAACACTTGGAAAAGAAAAAAAAATGTGTGTTCAATATCCTAATATCCCACATTAAAGATAATTTAGTTTCTAAGGATGGTTGGATGAGATATATTGAAGTCCTGTTGCCTAGGAAATAAGTGATGGCTAATAAATAATTTAAGTCAGTGACAAATTGTATGCATATATTTATATGTGTGTGTAGGTGTACGGGTGCATGTGTACATGAGGAGGTCAGCTATCATCTTCAGGTGCCATTTCTCAGGCGCTGTCCCACTTTGTTTTTTGAAGCATGGTCTCTTACTAGCCTGGCGCTCCCAAGGATCTGCCTGTCTTGCCTCCCTATCTATGGGATTACAAACACAACACCATATTTGACTTTTTTTTATAAGGATTCTGGGGATTGAACTTAGGTTCTCATGTTCGTATAGCAAACACTTTACTGACAGGTATCTCCCCAGCCCAGTATCAACTATGTTATCAAGAGTGACTGTTCCATAGGTGTAAGCCATTAATAATATTTACTTGCTTGGAACTTAGAGTAGACCTGGAAGTAACTTTATTAAATAGGCATGTATTCTTATTTTTCAATTGTATTAATTCTTTTGTATGCTTGCGGGTGCATGCATGCCATGGTGTGTGTGGAGGTCAGAGGAAAACTTGCAGTAAATGGTTCTCTCCTTACACCATGTAGGTCAGGTCATCAGGCTTGGTGACAAGCGCTTGCTGGCCCAGCATATGTTGTCAGAAGAAGCATATGGTAACTTTTGCTTTTGACAGATTCAGAGAGTTGATTTTTTTTACATTTTCTCTAATTTGGATGCTTTCTTTGTTAACTATGGAACTTCAGCTAAAACTTATGCAATAGCAGTAGGCCGCATTTACAGTTAATGTTTTTTAAGTAAGTACTATTCCATTTTCATTGGTTGTATGAAAAAAGAGCTTGTACTAAATACCTTAAGAATAATTTCTGCCTTTCAAAATTTAATTCTGAATTGCCAGTGTATCCACTAAGAGAAGTAAGTGAAGCAGTGTGGCAGAAGGACAGAAGACAGCATAGCCAAGATTCTAACAGCATACTCCCGAGAGGCCATAAAACTATGACAGTGTTCGTCTTGGGAGAATCTTCACCAGTCTGTCTGGGGTGTGGTCCCTCTGCCTTTTAGTGCCTCTGGTTTCTGTTCTTGATAGGAGGTAAAGAGATGGTAATGCAAAATCTAGCTAAATTTCGGGTTTCCTATCGAGGTAGTATTTATTTTGAGTAGTATGTAATGTGTCAGAATCATTTAATGATTTTTTTAATGAAACATCAACTCAAGCAGCAAATTTTAAAATCAGACTTTTATTATTTTGTGTATATATTTGTATGGTGTGTGTGAGGTGAGAGTGGAGATGTATGCCTGTGCCACAGTGTACCTGTAGAGGTCAGAGAACAGCCTTTCTGGAGTAGGTTCTCTCCTTCCATTCATGGGTTCCAAGGCTTAAATTGAACTCGGGCCTTCAGACTTGTGTGACAAGAGCTTTTACCTACTGAGCCATTGCTTTTATGTGCTGAGCCATCTTGCCCTAAATCTAACATTCTAACCCAATACAATCGAAAGATAAACTGGATATTTACATGCTGAGGGATGATAGGAAAACACCAAAAGTCTTTGCTTTCCATAACTAGACGTTTTCTTTCTGTAAGAGTTGAAAGCTGTATATATAGTAAAAATGCTTCTGGTCATAGCATACAGAAGTTTCAGATCTGAGCTGAGGTGTTTCTAGGCTTGATGGTGTGTGCAGTGCAGAGTATGCATGTTGTGTATTCAGGAACAAGACTGCAGTAGAGTTGGGTGATGGTGCAACACAGGTGAATCCTGCTCAGAATACCTCAGATTCATTATGCATTTTGAATTAGTTTCTGGATTTTGCACATTGAGAAATCTTTGTTGTTACCCTTTTTTTTTCATCCCATGGTTAGTGGAGCTCTGGTCTGGAAAACAGCCTGATTTCTCAGATCCTCATCTAACACCAGTACAGTCCACAACTGACCTATCCAGGATCAAATTCCATACTTGAAATATTCTAGAAAGAATATCTCTCCTATTAAGAAATGTTCACTAGTATCTCTAAATTTAGAAAGAACTGTCTTTGGATCTTAAGAATATAGTTAACTATGGAGAGGGTATGAATAATTTAGAAAAGCCTGGAATAAAAAATAAGATTATTCATTCAAGAAATATTAATACCAGTCACTCAGCTCAGCGATAGGAATAAAATAGCAGGCAAGGCTGATCAGGATCTCTGTCCTCACAGAACTTAAGATTCCAGTGGGAAGAGATAGTTAATAAATAAGAAAGTAAAATATAGAGTTGGTAAGTTCAACTATCAAAGTTTTGAAAGAACTGAAAGTGAAATTTTTTTCATATTTTTGTTTTTGAACTATTGATACAGTCGAACGAAATTCCGTCACAGCCAGCAGTTATTTCCTGAGGGTTCTCCTGGTGACCAGTGGATAAAGCACAGGCAGCCGCTACAACAAAAGCCATGCAGTAACCATTCTGAAATGTCTGACTCTCTAAAAGCAAAGGTGAGTGGTACACATTTAAAAATTTTCAGGAACTTGGATCATTTTTCTTTGAAATCATTGCAAGTTGCAGAATTGCATATCAATAGTTAGGGGAGCTCTGAAGATTGGAGCAAAGGGTGCCAGTGTTCCTGGCTTGTGATTTGAAGACCTAAGACTCATTATTGTAGCTTTGATGTAAATCCAGTGTGGTTAATAATAGGCATGAGTTCTTTATGTGTTGTGAGTGAAAGTCTCATTTTTTAAAAGTTTTAAGCCACTTCAAATTAAAATTGAGATCTATTGACTTTGTTTAAGGGGGGAAAATGTATTTATAACATGTTATTCTCACCATTGTGTGGCACAGTACGTGATTATACCACAGTTCATACATTCTACACTTAAGTTTTGTTTACACTTACATTTTGTTGGCTTCCTGAAGACTCAAGAACAGTAGCCACCAAAATGTGTTACAAAATCCAACCCTTAAATACAAAAAAAGTCTCAATGATATTATTTGGGAATGGAGACCAGTTATGCATCAGGATGTCTGTAAAAATAAAACCAACTACTAGGCATGATAGTGCATGCCTTGCCTTTAATCCCAGCACTCTGGAAGCAGAGACAGGTGGATCTCTGAGATTGAGGCTAGCCTGGTCTATATAGAGAGCTCCAGGCCAGCTGGAGCTACAGGGAGACCCTGACTCAAAAAATCTAAATCAGTCAGTTTAATAGTACAGGAAATAACCATGGTTGTGAAGATGTGAACTGGGACCCTTATGCAGAGCTGTTGAGAATGTAAAAGGGACAGCTGCTGTGAACAGTTTGATAGTTCCTCAAGTTAAATGTACATTTACCTCGTAACTCAGCAACTCCATTCATACTTAGATATCCAAATGAACCAGAAGCAACAATTTAACAGATAATTTTGTACTGGTGTTAACCAGAGCGTCATTCACAACATCCAGAAGGTACAAACAACCCACACACCCATCATGAGAAAAATGGACGAACAGTGATGGCATGTGCATGTACTGAACTATTTCCAGCCTTTAATGAAGTCTGAGACATCCTACAGTATAGATGAGCCTTGAAGGCATTTGTTAAGTGAAATAAGGTAGACACGAAGGGACAAAAATTGTATAATTCATATTATGAGTGCCTAGCATAGGCAGATTCATAAAGACACAAGGTGCAGTAGTAATTGTTGCTGGAGGTAGCAGAGAAGGCAGAATAGTTACTGTCTGCCAGGCACACAGATTCCAATGTTTGGGAAGTGGACTGGGATTTAATAGCCCCATGCTCCCCTTGCATGCTTTCACTTAGATCTGCAGTGCCACACAAGGGCAGCAACAAAGAAGCCACTCATTTAGGACAAAATGGGTAGTGATGTTTTGATTTACTATCGTGTCTAATGCCACTGAGTTATGCACTTTAAGGAATACCATGGTAAAAAAATCTGCCTAAAACAAATGATACAGAATTAAGTGTATAGTCTCACGATTTTCGAGATCCACTGTATGGGTTTTATGGTAATAGCTACATTCATTATTCATAGTCCTCTTAAATAACTGCTTTACAAGATCTGAAATTGAAATTAAAATTTGAAAAGATAGGATCTTTTTTGTTTGTTTGCTTGTTTATGTTGAGACAGGGTCTTACTCTGTAGCTCTAGCTATCCTGGAACTTGCTATGTAGACCAAGCTGGCATTGAACGTAGAGGTTTGCCTGACTGCCTCCCAAGTACTGGGATAAAAGGTATGCACCACCACACCCTGCTGAAAAGATTGTATCTTTAATTTAAATCCATATGAACAACATGTCTAAACTTAAAAATAACTGCCTAAGTTTTTTAAATATCAAACTTTGCAGGGCATGGTGGCACATGCCTTTTATCCCAACATGGAAGATGCAGAGGCAGAGGCAGGTGGATCTCTGTGAGATGGAGGCCAGCCTGGTCTACATAGGGGGTTCCAGGCCAGCTGGGGCTACAGGGAGAGGAGACTCCTACTCAAGAAAGGAAAGAAAAAAGGAATCAGTCTTCCATTATTTAGTAAAAGACTTTTTTTTTCATGCGATGCCTGCGGAGGTCAGAAGAGGGAGTCAGATTCCCCCGGAACTAGAATTAGGGACGGTTGTTAGCCACCATGTGGATGCTGGGAATCAAACTCCAGTCCTCTGTAAGACAGCCAGTGCTCTTAATTGCTGAGCCATCTCTCCAGCCCCAAGATTATTCTTTTTTTTTTTTTTATTTTTTTTTATTTTTTTAAATGTGTATGCATGTATTGCCTGCATGTAGGTAAGTGCACCCGTGTCATACAACACCTGTGGAGGACAGAAGAGGCTGCCGGATCCCCTGGAACTGGAGTTACGGACAGTAGTTAGCTGCCATGTGCGTGCTGGGATTCGAACGCAGTCTTCTGCAAGAACAGTGTTCTTAACTGCTGAGCCTTCTCTCCAGCTCCAAGATTATTCTTTTAATGATGCTTTTTTACTAATAATTTAAATTGAATTTTTATGATACTAATTGATCATGCCTACTGTTTGATTTCTACTATTAAGAGCTCTAGGGGCTAGTAAGTGGTTTAATGGGTAAAGTGCTTCCTGCACAAGCCTGAGTTTGATCCCTGGAACCCACATGAAGGTAGGAGAGAACCTACTCTACAAGGCTGTCTTCTGATAGTCACAAGTGCTCCATTGCATGTGCACACCAGATTTTCTCTCTCTCTCATACACACACGCACACACATACACACGCACACGTGTACACACACACACACACACACATTTCTTCATAGAGTCTACTCTAACAGCAAGTAGGGCTTCAGAACTTGTTCTGCCACCTGCTCCCATTCCTTTTATCTTTATCTTATTTTAATACTGTAGATTGAATCCAGAGCCTTGTTTATACTGAGCATGAGCTTTACCACTGAGCTACACCTGCCTGTTTTATGCATTATAAACAGTTTATAATATAGGAAGTAAGAGGTGTAGAAAAGTCCTAAGGACTATAGTATTTGCTGTCTCATACTTCTATATGAGTATTACTTTGCAGAATATTTTATAGGAAAATACATTGATGTGGTAATTTATAAACATTTGGGTGGTGCTTCACTGATCTCTTTATTCAACCAGGTATAAATATATTCATAGAAGTATATTTATGATTATACTGTAGGCTTATATTTTGCTTTTATTGGAAAAACAGAATCAGAATGTGAGGGGCAATGGCAGAAAACAGTATCAAGACTCACCCAGTCAGAAGAAGAGAGCAAACGGAATTCATAGTCAACCAGCAAAGCAACAGAATTCCTTGATGGTAAGAGTTTTGAGCTCGAATGCTAAGTAGACGGTTCTCTTTGAGAACACGGCAAAGACATTGTTAAGACAGAATTATGTTTGTTTTGCTCTTGTTCTGACTTAATTGATCTTAGTGATAGGATTTTTATAAAGAAAAATTTTTCACTATTGTGTTCATGAACTAAAAATCTTTTTGACCATTCCTAATTATATGTGTGTAACACTGATTCAGGTACATCTCTATTTTTTTGCCTTTTGAGTGGTTATTTACCTTTATTTTAAAGCCATGAAAACACTATATACTAAAAACAAGTCTCAATTCTATTTTTCTAAAAACCTGTTATTAAAGAGGCTGGAGAAATGGCCTAGCAGTTAATAGTACTTGCTGTTCTTCCAGAGGATCCAAGTTTGGTTCCTAGCTCCCATATCTGGCAGCTTATAGCTGCCTATAACTCCAGCTCCAGGGAATCCTATGCCCTCTTCTAGCCTCAACATGCATCTTTACACATAAGGCATATAAACACAAATACACATAAGAATATAAATAAATCTTTATTGGAGACAGAGGCAGGCAGATCTCTGTAAGCCAACCTGGTCGACATAGCAAGTTTCAGGTTAGCCAAGGCTGTATTTGAGACCCTGTCTCAAAAAAGCAAAACAACAAAAAAAAAAAAAAATGAAATTTTTAAAAAGACTATTTAAAAGTTTTTAAATTTATATTTTTAAACCTAAGACATAAAAACTAATTTTCTAAGATACCATGTAATTTGATATGTGGATATATTGTGTAATGTTTAAGGTATCTCCCGGATTATTTATCTACATTTCTTTATGGTGAAAGCACTCCCTCCCAGGAGTGTTGGCATAGCACTTGGTAGGCTAAGGGGTGAAGGATCTTGAGTTTAAGGCCAGCCTGGGCTATATAATGAGTTTGAAGCCAATCTGGAGGGAAATCCAGTTTACATTGTTGTTATTTATAATCATCTTCCTGTGGGATAGCACATCAAGCCTTTTTAACCCATCCAGCTGTAGCTTAGTAGCTACTGATCAACCACTCTCCCATCTTTCTGTGGCTCTATACTCCCCAGCTTTGATGGCCACCATTCTGCTCATAATTTCTTTCTAGGAGATCATTCTTTTTATAATCCATTATATCAGTGCAATTAAAATTATTGGGGAGAATCTCACAGTGTTTTTATTTTCCTTCAAGTAAAAAAGTTGCAAAAATTAAGCAGCACTGATATTCCATTAGCATTTGTCTAGATATGAAGACAGATAACTGTAAGCATTTCAAAATATTTTCATTAATTCTTCTATTTGGTCTGCGTTTTGGAAAGTAACCGATATCTAATGTCTTTCCTGATCTTTTCTTCTCAGTCCTGATATTTGTATATTGGATTTTCTTGTGGTTTCCCTGGTATCCTATTTCTTTAATGGAGTGGGTTAGAATAGTAATTTTACATTTTTAGCAGAAATTATCTACCTGAGTCATCTGGATGACACTTACTTTGCTTGAGTACATTAACTACACCATTAAACCAGTGTTAAGGTTGTGTATACTGTCGGTTCTTTTTATTTTAGTGTACTCTAATGAAGGTGTTGGCGAGAACAAGGCAATTGTAATAGTATAAAAGTATCATATAAAAGTATATGATATCATGCCGGGTGTGATGGCGCACGCCTTTAATCCCAGCACTCGGAAGGCAGAGGCAGGTGGATCTCTGTGAGTTCAAGGCCAGCCTGGTCTGCATAGTGAGTTCCAGGACAGCTGGGGCTACAGGGAGACCCTGTCTCAAAAGAGATAAAAAATAAAGTATATGATATCATGAAAGTATCATTTAATAATATAAAAAGTATCATCTCTCTTCAGTTACTGTGTAAATTTAACTCATTTAGAAGTATTGGGGATATTTTTGAAGGAATTTCACAAATCTCAGATTTGTCTAGAAAAATTTGAATAGATTTTACAAGTTTCTGAAAAAAAGTGATAAGTATATAAGTGGTCTATAGAACTTGGAATGATTGGTGAACTTGTGAAAACTGTTAATCCATGTGTAAGTCAAAGAATAGGAATAGAATTCAAGGCCAGCCTGGGTACATAGTTAACTAAGACATTGTCTCAGAAAT